TGTGTTCTTGGGATTTGTGGAGCTTCTTGGATTTGTAGATTTATAGATTTTATCAAATTTGAAAATACATTTCTTTAACCTTCTGTCCTTTTTCAGGGGACTCCAATTATGTTTATATTTAGCTATTTGAAGTTGTCTCACTGCTCACTGATGCTCTACCATTTAAAAAATTCTCTATTTCCATGTTTAATTTTGGGTGGTTCTTTTGCTATGTCTTCAATTTAACCTTTCTTCTGTAATATTTAATTTTCATTAATTCCATGTAGTTTGTATTTCTTATATATTGTAGTAATCCATCCCTAGAAATTAGATTTGCATATCTTACAATATCTTCCATGTATCTACTTAATTTCTTGTATATATGGAATACAGTTATAATGCCCTATTTTAATGTCCTTGTGTTGTAATATTTTTTATTTTACTGATTATGCTATTGCAGTTGTCCCATTTTTACTTTTCTCTCCTTTATCCTCTTCTTCCTGGTACCCCATTTCCTCCAATATTCCTCTCCCTTTAGTTCATGTCCATGGGTCATACATGTAAGTCCTCTGACTTCTCCATTTCCTATACTATTCTTAACCTCCCCCTCTCTATTTTGTATCTACCAATTATGCTTCTTATTCCCTGTACCTCTTCCACCATTCTCCCCCTTCCCCGTCCCCTCCCTGCTGATAACCCTTCATGTGATCTCCATTTCTGTGATTCTGTTCCTGTTCTAGTTGTTTGCTTAGTTGTGTTTTTTTTTTTTTTTTCCTTTTTCAGGGTCAGTTGTTGATAGCTGTGAGTTTGTTGTCATTTTACTCTTCATAGTTTTTTATCTTCTTTTTCTTAGATAAGTCCTTTTAACATTTCATAAAATAAGGGCTTGGTGATGATGAACTTTTAATTTTACCTTGTTTGGGAAGCACTTTATCTGCCCTTCCATTCTAAATGACAGCTTTGCTGGATAGAGTAATCTTGGACGTAGGTCCTTGCTTTTCATGGCTTTGAATACTTCTTTCCAGCCCCTTCTTGCCTGCAGGGTTTCTTTTGAGGAATCAGGTGATAGTCTTGTGGGAACTCCTTTGCAGGTAGCTCTGTTCTTCTCTCTTGCTGCTTTTAAGATTCTTTCCTCAAGATTATCTTTAATCTTGGAAGATTTATTTATGATGTGTTTTGGTGTGTTCTCCTCAAGATTCTCTTCTTAAGATTATCTTTAATTTTGGAAGATTTATTTATGATGTGTTTTGGTGTGTACCTCTTTGGGTCCAACTTGTTTGGGACTCTCTGAGCTTCCTGGACTTGTATGTCTATTTCCTTTGTCAAATTAGAGAAGTTTACCTTCATTATTTGTTCAAATAAGTTCTTGCTCTTCCTCTTCTCCTTCTGGCACCCCTATGATTGAGATGTTGGAATGTTTACAAGTTGTCCCAGAAGTTCCTAAGCCTTTCCTCATTTCTTTAAATTCTTGTTTCTTCATTCTGTTTTGTTTGAATGGTTATTTCTTCCTTTTGTTCCAAACTGCTAATTTGAGTCCTGTTTTCCTTCCTTTCACTGTTGGTTCCCTATATATTTTCATTTGTTTCACTTTGTATAGAACTCACTTCTTCCTTTACTTTGTGACTGTACTCATTCATTTCTGTGTGCATCCTGACTACAAGTGTTTTGAACTCTGCATCTAATAGGTTGGCTACCTCCTTCCTTGTCGCTTAGTTCTTTTTCTGGAGCTTTTTCTTTTTTTAAAATCTTGTATTTATTAATTTTCTTATTGTTTATTATGTGTTAAAGTGGTATGTTTTCTTTCTTAAAAGATTTTGTTTATTTATTTTCAGGCAGAGGAGGAAGGAGAGAGAAAGAGAGGAGAGAAACCTCAATGTGTGTTTGTCTCTAGCATGCCTGCTACTGAGGTCCTAGTCCACAACGCAGGCCTGTACCCTGAATGGGAATCAGACTGTTGACCCTTTGATTCACAGTGTGGTGCTTAATCCACTGATCCACACTAGCCAGGGCTCTTTTTCTGGAGTTTTCATCTGTTCTTTCATTTGGGCCGTATTTCTTTGTCTAGGCACACCTGTTACATTGTAATGGGCAAGGCCTTATGTACTCGCCAAAGTGGGGAAGCCTGCCTTGCTGCACTGCAGTGCTATATGTGGGGAATGGGTCAGAGAGGGAATAATGCCGCTTGCTCGGCTCTTGCCCCACTTTCAGTCACTTCCCCTGCTTTCCTCAAGCGAACTACCCCTTCCAGGTGCTGCGCTGGTGCTGATTCCTGGGTGGGTGGGCCTGTGTACATTCTAGGACCCTGTGGTCCTCTCTAACAGACTCCCTTGTGAGACTGGCCATTTCTTCTGCCACAGCAACTCCCACAGATTTTTACAGCCAGAGGTTTTGAGGCTTTATTTTTCTATGCTGGAACCCTGGGTTGTGCAGGTCTGTCTCACCCTCCGGTTGTTCCTTCTGGTGTTTCTATGAGTGAATGTGGGACCTTCCTGTCTGCCAGCCGCTGCCTTGCGGTATGTCCTCCCCATCCTGGCTGCCCATCTCTACTCCTCCTACCAGTCTGGATGAATGTTTCTTCTTTAACTCCTTGATTGTTGGACTTCCATACAATTCAGTTTTGTGACAGTTCTGGTTGTTTTTTGTTTTTTAAATTGGCTGTTATCCTTCTTCCGGTTGTGTGAGGAAGCAAAGCATTTCTACTTACACCTCCATATTGGGCCTCCCCTGTTTTCTAATTTTAACGTCTCTGTTAGTTCAAGGTTGGTCTCTGTTGGCTGACTCATCTCAATGTGTGTCCTATTTTCTTGCTTCTTTACATGGCTCGTTACTTCTTTATTGGATGCCAGACATGGTAAATTTTATCTTGTTGGTTGCTGGATGGCTTTGCATTGCTATAAATATTCTCAAGCTTTGTTCTGGGGCATAGTTAAGTTACCTGGAGACAGTTTGATCTTTTCAGGTCTAGCTTTTAAGATTTGTTAGGTGGAACTGGAGCAGTTTCTATTCTAAGGCTAGTTATTCTCCACGAGTAAGGGAAGGCTCTTTTGTGTACTCTACCAAATGTGCTGTGATTCTTGAGATCTCCAGTGTGGCTACTTCCAGCGTGTGTGTGTTTTTTCAACCTTTGTGAATGCCAAGCACTATAACCTCTATTTCCTGCCTTATGATTACCAACCACTATACCTTCTAGTCCTTTCAAGTGGTGCTTTTTCCAGTTTCATGTAGTTTTCTCACACATATGTACTGATCAGTACTCAGCTGTGTACTAAAAGAGGATTCTGCAGGCTTCTGGAGTTTTCCCTTTGCACCGCTTTCATATCTTTGGTTCTTTGTTCTAGTAACCCTAGCTGTCTTGGTCTGCTCCACCTCCACAATTCACAGGAACCAGAGGTGTTGGGAACCTCTCTTTGTGCCATGTCTTGGAAACTCTCTGAAGGCTATGTGCGGGTGCAATTTTAGTGCTCATCTCATTTGTTTTCAGTCTCTTGGGGATCATTATCCTTCATTACCTGATGTCTACTATTTTATAAATTATTTTGAATATTTTGTTCACTTTTTTTGTTGCTTCGGGCAAGGGAAAGGAGATCAATCTAGTCCCTGTTACTCCATTTTTGGCTGGAACTGTAAATCTCTTCCTTTAGTTTTAATTACAGGGTTCTGAAACTCTGAAAGTCTGATTCCACTACTAAACTTATGTATAACAGTTGTTTTGCTTTTCCTAATAACTTTGTAGTTGAAAGTTTATAGCCCCATCTGTAAACAAATTAAATATTTTAAGAATAATATTTAAGCCTCAGGTTCAGATCAAATGGTTATCATGTCTCAGTAGTCCATGAAGGGCATCTCTAATATGTATTTTGAGGAAGAAAAATGAGAGTCACCTGTTCTTTAAAACTATAACTCCTGATGGCACAGGAACTTTCTGCAGTGAAAAGCTAAGAAGAGGTATTTTAATATAAAGCAAACACTTATCCATCTGTAGGAAGTGGAGATAAGAGTAATAGTTTTAGCATTTTCTTGTTCCTTAATGTTACTCATATAGATTTATCTAGACAGTCAGGCTCATCAAAATTAAAGATTCATATAAAAGTTGAATCTTCATGTAGGAACATTTCAATAATAATAGAAAGCCTTTCTTTAACACCCACTATGTAACAGGTACTGGGCTAGGAGCTTTAAATACTTTTTCTCAAGTATACATTATAACAAACTTGTAAAGTATGATCCATTACTACTAACCCCATTATATAAATGAGAAAACTGAGGTTCAGAGATTTAAACCTAGGTTGAAAGGAAGATTAGATTCTTTTATTCAAAAAGTACTTAATGTACCAGGCATGCTTCTAGGTGCTGGGAACATAGCAGTGAGGAAAAAAAAAATCCCTAAATCCCTAACTCAAAGAATTTACACTCTAACACATAGTCTCTTTAAAAAAATAAAAACTTAATATGTAAATTTTTTGTGCCTGGTGTTATATCAAAAGTAAAATGGAAAACATCATAAACTTATGTCACTAAATAAATTTAATATTAAAAGTAGAAAAAACATTCTGTGTAAAGGTGAGTAGTTTCATTTACTAAGTAAATAGCTGGGATTAAATAGGTTTGGTTGACTCCAAAGCCTTTACCATTTCCACTATCCCATAATGCCTTCCTATCACATTACATTTCAGAAAGAGATGCATTAAAAAAAAAGCCAATCAAAGCCCAAACACTTCAGCGATGTCAAAATCTATGCAATATACTAAAGTTTCTTGCCTGCACAATAGATGAAAAACAGGGAACAAAAATAGAGAAAATAAAGACAAGTATCGTACTGGAAAAGTTAATATTGGTTAACTAAATGCTAAAAACTTTTCATGGAATATATTTAGTTTTGAATGAAAATAATAAATTATCAACTTATATACCTAAATATATATGCTATTTTAGAAATGTAAGAATAGTGCTTTTCTTTTGTAAATATGCATGTAAAAAAATATTGGAATGTCAGAGTCTCAAAAAAATATAACTAAGCATACCTCTACAGCAGGTACAATGTCTATGCCAACAGTTAGAAATTCTTCAAACTTCATAAATGGGTTAAAGCAGCTGCCAACATCAAGTAATCTGATCTTTCCTGAGGTTTGTAGCAACCTAAAAACAGATTGTTTTAACATAAGCAAAATAAAAATAAAGTATAAGACAAATTCAAACATTTGAGAAATTAGAAAGTCATGTAGATTATGGGCTCTCTAACTTTTTAATTTGGGGATTTGTTTAACACATTTAAAGTTCCTGAGGGCCTTTAAAGAATTTTTGTTTATGGGAACATAGCAGTGAGGAAAAAAAAAATCCCTAAATCCCTAACTCAAAGGATTGAGTTAACTGAAATGATTATATCTATCAATATTATTGGATTTGAAGTTAAAGCTGGATAGTTAAGAGGAGAGAAGATGGAAGTGAAATAGGGAGTTGAGCCCACTTACTTATGCACCCAACTGGGACAACTAGCTGGTCTTCCAAAGGATAAAGTGAACAGGCAACAGAATCTTAGCTCTTATGAAGTTTGAAAGCCAAAGAATGCAGAAGATGCTACAAAGCAGGTAGTAAGGAGGTTTTATAGGCAGACAGGGAAAGTCTCCGAGTGTGGTGCCAGAAACCATGGCTGCCACAAGGACATCGGAGGAGAGCTGATCAGTGACAGTAGCCTAGCGGCTCCTTCCCTCCCAGGGTGGACAAATTGCAGACCCACGCCATGAGAGACTTGAAAGTGTAAAGCTGTTGGTCGGCCGGGGGGTGGTGGAAAGGCATGCAGGCACACACAGTTGCCAGTGCACCCAAGCTGTGGGGGTGGGGGCAGTTGCCGGTTGGGATAGTGCCAGAGGCTGGGGGAGATGGTGGTGGTACCTGGAGCTGGGAGAACAGGTGGGCCATGACTGGCCATGATTGAGATAAGACTCTGGACTTGCCAGAATTGGAGTCTATGGAACACCAGACAGTGGCTTAGAGCAGCAGCAGTGCCCAAAGAGACTTTTTTCAAAAGGGGAAATGAGGCACAATGGGCAGGGATCTTTCACACACAGCTGCCTGGCCAACAGAGGGGAGGATTGTGGTCATGATTAGCTCCCACTCAGTGCTACTCACAGATTGATCAAAGGGGTGTAAAGCGAGGTGGTATATTGGTGCCAGCCTGGTGCAACTGTGCAGAGCGAAGAGTGAGGGCCCGCACAGCACTCTTGGGGGCATGGGCTGGAAACTGGGCACCTGATTATTGTAACCCAGACTGTGCCCCTCCTTAGCCATTCAATAGGAAAGGGAAAATGAGGCCCAACCCCTCATAGCCTGCAGGAGTCACAGGCTGGGAGGATCTGCAAAACCAGCTGGAGGTTTTTTGTTTTTTGTTTTTCCCCGCCACAAGAAAGACAGTAAGACCTGGCGCTAGGAGAAAACCAGAGACAGATCCAAAAAGATGTAAAAAGGCAAATAACAAGCTGAGACAAATTTCACCTTGCTCCTCATCAGAACTTGCATGTTTTTTAAAAAATTTCTCTTTCCATTTATTTAGGTTGTTTCCTTTTCCTTCTCACTTTCATATTGCATTTTAATTTTTCTACTTTCATTTCACTTGTATTCCAAATAACTCACTCTCTCGGTCTTTTATTTTTTATTCTCTGCATTCAGATTATATATTTTTAAAAATCATGTAACTATTATTCAAAATCCCAACAGCACCCTTCCCTAGTCTTAATCCATTTCGCCATCTTCCTGAGCTTTATTACTGTTGTGAACTTTATTTTCTCTCACACTACATCATGTTCATATCCCTTACTCTATTTCTCCTCCATCTAACCTCGTGTAAGCACTCCTCTTTCTTAAGTCAGCTCACATTCTTTTCTCCCTCATTTCTCTTCCATCTTTTATAAACAGTGGCTAGTTGGAAAATACCAGTTATTGCTATACTTCTCCAACAGAACTCCTATTGATTCAGTATGTTTGTACTTTAAATCCCATAAAATACTCTCCCTGCTTACTCCATTTCGCCTTCCCCCCTGCCTCTGATCAGTTGAGTGAGGAATTTTATTTCATTGTTTCCCTTCCCCCTCCTCAACCTTGGCATTACTCCTTATTTTTATTAATTTGCTTCCCCCATCCTCTCAAAAACATTTTTATTTACAGTAGATGTCTCATATACACTTTTTGCTTTCCTACAATACTCTTATTCCTGTTCCACCTTTATTAAACGTCATTCAGCTGTTGTTGCTATTGACCCTGCTGTGGTTTTTTCCTGCAATTTTGCTCCTGTTGGTCCAATATCTTTTCAATTTTACTTCAAATGTCATACTATAGTCTTCCTATTTTTTACCCCATTCTTCCCATTGTCCTTTCATGTTTTACTTGTGTTTTAAATTTTGTTCTCCCCATACTCTTATCAATTCTCCTCCCTCTTACCACTCAAGATTTTTCCCTCTTTTAGTCATCTCATATTCCATTTGTAACATCTTATAATATCTATATCTCTCTTCACCTTTATTAATCTCTGCTTAATTGCACTTGAGATTGCTGATGTGGTGGGGGGTTCTTTTTGCTGGTGTAGATTTGGTTGTCTGCTAATACTTCATTGTTAACCATCACCTACCTGTACAACAGCACACAAGACAAGGTGGGAGTTGTGACGACCAATAAACCTGGTGGAGGAGAGAACCTGCCACCAAAGAAGCCACCAACAAGTAAAGCCCAGTACAATAAAAGGGCCCACAGAAATGGAAGAAAGGGCAACTCTAAAGCACCTACCAATGGAGATCTAAGAGACTGCACCACTGAGTACCACAGAACTCCTGCCACAGAAGTCCGCCCCACAAAGACAGGCAGGCAAAGCAGAGCATCCTGAGATGCAGAAACAAACACAAAGTCACCTAAAATGGGAAGACAAATAAAGAACCCGCAACAGAAGGGAATGGAAGAATTCTCAGAAAAAGAGCTAAATGAAATGGAGGCAAGCAATCTATCAGACACAGAGTTCAAAAAATGGTTATAAGGATGCTCAAGGAACTCAGTGACAGCTACAAGGAACTGAGTGGGAACTACAATAGCATGAAAAAGTAAATAAAAACTGTAGACAAGGACCAGGAAGAAATGAAGAATATAATATCTGAAATAAAAAAAAAAAAACCCTCTAAGGATTTACAAGCAGGTTGGATGAGGCAGAGGACAAGGTAGAAAGAAATACCGAGGTAGAGCAGCAGAATGAAAAAAGACTTAAAAAGGGTGAGTATAGCTTAAGGAAACCTCAGGACAACATCAGATGTAACAACATTCAAATCATAGCAATTCGAATCATACGAGGAGAAGAAAAAGAGCATGGGATAGAAAACCTGTTTGAAAAAATGACAGAAAACTTCCCTGTCTTGGAGAGGGGAAAAGCCATCCAAGGTCAGGAAGCACAGAAAGTCCTAATCAAGGTGAACCCAAAGAGGCCTACTCTAAGACACATCATAATTAAAATGGCAAATTTTAAAGACAAAGAGAATTTTAAAAACATCAAGGGAGGAACCGATAGTAACATACAGGGGAGCTCTGATAAGACTAGCAGTACATTTCTTGACAGAAACACTACAAGTCAGAAGGGACTGGTAAGAAAAACTCCACGTAATGAAAAGTAAAGGCCTGCAACCAAGACTACTTTACTCAGCAAGGCTATCATTTAAAATGGAAAGCAAAATAAGGAGTTTCCTGGACAAGGTTAAAAGAATACACCTCCATCGAACAAACACTGCAGGACATAGTAAAGGGATTGCTTTACAGGTACTAAAGGAAAATATGGCAATGGACAACCACCTTTCAGTAGTAATATTAAATGTAAATAGATTAAACGTTCCAATCAAAAGACATAGGGTAGCTAAATAGTTAAGGACCCATGACCCGCATCTATGCTACCTACAAGAGACTACCTCAGAACAAAAGACCTACACTGAAAGTGAATTGTTGGACAAAAATATTCCAAGCAAATGGACAGGAAGAAAAAGGCAGGGTAGCGATACATAAACCAGACAAATAGATTTCAAAACAAAGGCCACAGACAAGGAAGATCATTTATAATTCTAAACGAAAAACCATCAGGAAGCTATGAGCATTGTAAACACATATGCACCCAACACAGGAGCACCCAGATATATAAGGAAAATCTTGGAGGACCTCAAGAAAGATATAGAGAGCAACACTCATAGTAGGGGACTGTAACCCCACTGTCAAAAATAGACAGATACTCCGAACACAGAATCAATAAGACATGTGGCAGTGAACAACATGCTAGATCAAATGGACTTAACTGATATATCTATATCTATATCTATAGATATCTATATCTATAGATATCTATATCTATATCTATATCTATAGATATCTATATCTATAGATCTAGATTCTAGATCTATATCTATATGAGCTTTCACTCCAGTGAAGCAAAATATACATGCCTTTAAAATGCATATGGAACATTTTCAAAGATAGTCCACATGACAGGACACAAAACAAGACTCAGTGAATTAGAGAAAACAGAAATCATATCAAGCATTTTCTTGGACCACAAGGGCCAGAAACTAGAAACCAACCTCAAGGAAAAAACTCAAAAACATTCAAATTAATGGAAATTGAATAGCATGCTATTAAACAATGAATAGGTCAATAACAAGAACAAGGAAGAAATTAAAAAGTTTCTGGAAACAAATGAAATGAACATACAACATCCAAAGGCAGCAAAGGCAGTCCTGATAGAGAACTTAATAGCAATACAGGCTTACCTACAATATACAGAAACATTTCAAATAAATAAGCTACCCTACACATACAAGAACTGGAGGAACAACAACAAACAAAGCCCAGAGTAAGTAGAAAGAAGGAAACAATCAAGATCAGAGTAGAATTAAATGACACAGAGACTAAAAGAACAATTCAAAGGATCAAAAAATCCAGGAACTGGTTCTTTGAAAAGATAAACAAAATTGACAAGCCTTTAAGCAGACTCATCAAGAAAAAAAGTGAGATGACTTGGATAAAATCAGAAACAGGAGGGGCAAAATAATAACCAATACCACAGAAATATAAGGGATCCTAACAAATTACTACAAACAAATAGATTCCAAGAAACTTGAAAACCT